TGACAACCGAGGAACGCTTCAGAAGCGCAAACTCGGAGGAAATCATGCAGAATGCAAGTACTCCAGGGAAGATCAGAAGGAACGAGCCAAATAGGTCCCCATGCTTGCTGGCGAGCGCAAGGTATCCTTGGTAAATCGCATGAGGACCCTCGATAGATAGCGCGATGGTGATAAGCGAAAGGAACATGATGGGAGTTAGGAGAAAGAGTGTTGAGAATGGATTTGAAGTAGCCGGATGGCGAAGCAAGAGAATTTGTGTCAGGCCCCATCGGAAGCCCGAAAAAAAAGCAGATGCAATGACGAGTGCGAAGCCAAGTGCATTGAAAGCCGTCTCTCCAGCTACCATCATCACGACACCTATTGTCATTGTGGCAATGATGATGATTAATTTCATCGAAGGTGTTTCGAGCCGGAAAAGGAAGGCGAATAGTAGGACGAAGGCAAGTGCAGACGATTTGCACATGGTTAAGAAAGTAAGAGAGATGAACTTCAAGGACATATTTCCGAGACCAACGTCAAGCGAGGTTGCTGCACCACACGGAACAAGGCGAGTGAAGTAGAATAATTTGGATACGAGGGGTTGCGGTTGCTCGGGGCTATCGATGGGAGATGTAGCCGCAGACACTGTCGGTTGTTTCGGACGGAGCGATGGAAAGATCCAGAGTATTATAACGGAGAGAGAGAATTGGACAGCCATGTGTAAGCTCGTCGTGAAAAGAGGGAAAGGGAAGACGATATCGTTTTCGGAGAACATCCATTTGTTGTACTGCAAACACGACAATTGTTAGTTCTTTCTTGACTTGCCAATGTCACTGTAAAGAATCACTCACTATTGAAATGGACAGCGAGAAGAGATACCAGAGCAAGATAAGCCCGCCATTAATTAGCAGGTTCTTAACAACGTTTCTGTCTGACAGAATCTCGCGAATAGAACCCTGGCCCTTGACATCTGCGATTCGAGCATCCAATCTGCGGCGCTGCTTTCGCCGTCGACGTCGCTGACGTTTTTGATGTGTTGTGAGTCCCGTTTCTTCGTCATATTGGTCATCATCCGAACTCATCGGGTCCAGCTCCAAAGTCTCTGCAGCGGATAAGACGTCGGAGGCATCAGTGTCTTCTGCGGCGGTCAAAGGTTCTTGTTCTTCGCGTTTGTGATTTCCCCCATCTCCATGCGACCAGAGTGCGTCATCTCTGCGCTCTGCCAAAACCGGTTGTGAGGCTCGCCCTGTCCCAGCAAGCATGGAGCTTCGCCGACGGTGGTGGGCGCCAGCCGAGAGCCCCATTCTAATAAGGACAGTTACGAAGAAAAAAAAGATCGGAACCGAGATGTATCTCCATCAATATGGACGGAACAAGTGTCACACGAGCACGAGGGCAAAAAGCCGAGTTGACAAGGGAATATGCTGACAAAGAAAAGACTGGAGGAATCCTGGAAATCAAAAGGTTCACGGAATAAAACGAAACAAAAAAGGAATGAAAATGAGAGAGAGGAGGCCAGAGGAATGGCAAAACTTGGAATTGAAGGGCGGTGATGTTCATTTCAGGTCTCTCCTTTCTCTCCTTTCTCGCCAACTTCTCTCATTGGTTACACATTTTATATCCCCACTATCCGGTAGATCCGGGGTCAAGGGGGAAAAAAACAACGATATTTCGATATTTCGTACTTCCGATATTGAAGGGTTTGAATGGGTTAAGAGGTCTGAGAGGTGGTTTTGGGTGTCAATTCTCATTGGTGGACTGAAAGCACCGGCCTCAACTTCGAGCTGTGAATGAAAGCCAAGCTCTTTAATCATTTTACTTACCTTGGTGGCCTTAAATTGAACACGGCTTGTTGACAAGGCCAGATTTGCACTCTCAATATGAGTTTATTTGAGAATTGACAATCTTTCTCTGGTCGAGTTCCTCATCTTTATCTTCCATGAAGAAACCCTAAAGCCACCTGGCATAGCCATGACCTCAGATCCATTATCATCATCATGTCGTGGTGTCTCCCACCAGTTCCGGCTATAATATATGTCGGAGGATGCGGATGATCAGTGACAATGGGGGCCTTGCATCTATCTCTCTGCATTCACTTTGCTCCCTTTTCCTCCCTCTTCTCTTCCATCTTCTTTGGGTTGGTGCTGCAAAACAGCATTTGATCTCCATCAAAAACTTCATCGGTATTCTGAACTTGCATCAAATTCCTTTAGATAATTTTCTCACGCTGCCATCATGAGTGAGCCTGCGTACAATGCCATTGAGGACTACGGCTTGATCGGGGACATGCACACCTGTGCCCTGATCAGCAAGGCCGGTAGTTTGGACTACATGTGCTGGCCAGTCTTTGACTCTCCTACCGTTTTCTGTCGCCTGCTGGATGACAAGAAAGGAGGGTTCTTCTCCGTGAAGCCCTACAAGACGGTGGTAGATGCCCACAGCAAGCAGCGGTATCTTCCGTACTCGAACCTGCTTGAAACCAGATGGACCAATGAGGATGGCGTTGCAACATTGCTGGACTACTTTCCTGTCACGCCTAAAAAGGGCGCGCAGTCGTCCCGGTTGTTGTCGGGATACTGTCCTTGTAACGAGCCGGGCACCAATCGCTTCAAGTCGGGACTGCAGCACTCGGGTCTGATCAGAAAGATAGAGTGTAGCCGTGGCTCGATGGAATTGCAAGTGCAGCTGTTCCCGGCTTTTAATTATGCGCGGGACTCACACAACACTCGTGCAAAGCTGGAAGACGACATGTCCAAGCACCGGCTGCAGACCGTCCACTTCGAGAGTGAGACAGAGCGGCTGCAACTCGAGATCTTTGCCGATTCACGGGAGCCAGATAAGCTTGGTTTCGCCTCGGCATCCTTGAAACTGGAAGAACGAGATGGCCTCCGTGGCCGGGGATTAGTGGCCTGGATCCGTCTGTCGGAGGGCCAGACCATTCATCTGGTGTTGCACAGTCCCGAGAAGGCTGTTCCCAGCTCGGCCACCATGGCAGCCTACCTCTTGAAGATGGAGGAGGAAACTTCCGACTATTGGACCGATTGGACACGCAAGTGTGCCTTCCGTGGCCATTACCGGGAGACAGTCGAGCGCAGTCTCCTTATTCTGAAGCTGTTGACCTACAAACCAACGGGTGCAATTGTCGCAGCGCCCACCTTCTCGCTCCCCGAAAATGTGGGAGGCGCCAGGAACTGGGATTATCGATACTCCTGGGTGCGTGACACAGCCTTCACGCTGTACGTCTTTCTCAAAATGGGCTATAGCCAAGAAGCGGAATCGTATGTCAACTTCATCTTCGAGCGGGTTTTCCCACATGCCTCCCAGGATCTTGATCCCAACAGCAAGAAACCATTCTTGCCGCTGATGTTCACTATTCGGGGCGAGTACGACATTCCCGAGGTGGAACTAGACCACCTCGATGGGTACAAAGGCAGCAAGCCTGTTCGCATCGGCAATGCTGCCGTCTTTCACACGCAGCTGGACATCTACGGCGAATTGTTGGACAGTATCTACCTGTACAACAAGCACGGAAACCCCATCACCTATGACCAATGGAACTCTATCCGGCGCATGATAAATTACGTCGTCGGTGTTCGAAACCAGAAGGATATGTCAATTTGGGAATCGCGTGGCCAGATCCAAAACTTTATCTATTCGAAGATCATGATGTGGGTGGCCCTGGATCGCGGAATCCGCCTTGCGGAGAAGCGTGCTAGCCTGCCATGCCCCGATCGGTTTGACTGGATCAGGGTCCGTGATGAGATGTACGACGAAATCATGACCAAGGGGTACAACGAAGAGCGTGGCCATTTCTGCCAGAGTTATGAGAGTCGCGAGGTCCTGGACGCGTCCATCTTGATTGCACCCTTGGTCTTCTTCGTTGCGCCCAATGATCCGCGATTCATCAGCACACTGCAACGGATTTTGCAAAGCCCCGAGAAGGAGGGTCTGTCCAGCGCTAAGATGGTGTTCCGATATGACCACCAGAAAGCCAATGATGGTAGGTACCCCTTGTTTTTTCTAGAACCTTGAGTGATTGAAACTCTAGAACAAGTGCTGATACTCGCATTGTGCAGGTATGACAGGAGGCGAGGGTGCTTTCATCATGGTAACCTTCTGGCTTGTCGAAGCTATGGCTCGTGTAAGTTTTATGAAACTACCCCCCAAAAAAAAAACATTGCACTATGCTGACATAGGCTAAAATTGGAAATTCAGGCTGCCAAATACGATGTGCCTATTCCGAATATCTGGAAACTCGCGCTTTCGCACTTTGATAACATCCTGTCCTACGCGAATCATCTGGGCATGTTTTCTGAAGAAGTGGCCATTTCAGGTGAGCAGATGGGCAACTCCCCGCAGGCATTCAGCCACCTGGCTTGTATCAGCGCTGCAATTAATCTGGGAAGAGTTGGACGAGTGGGTGACTAGAGTCATCTCTCGTTCAAGTCGGTGGCAGCTATAGACTGACTATTATACTGGACTATGATACTGTTGTCTTTGAAAAAAAAAAAAATGGTTGATGCAATTCTATAATTTCTGCTCACAGTTAGAAAACAAAATACAACTTTGTTATTTTGGTCGCAATTCACCCTGATATGTACATTCGAAGAAATTGTAACATGAACCACTCACTGGTCAACTCCAAACAGTATTGATGGTTTGAATTGGGAAACATCTACGTATAGCAGTGGGAAATACATCTAGATAATATAACTTATACGGCTTATATAGCCAATATATTTTATTTACCCTGTTCTGATCCAGGCCCTAGAGCACTAAAGCCTGGAGCGTGCAGAATGATTACGTAACGGTCCAGATGATCACCCGGGAGCTTCAGGGTGGCTACGGCTACCCCAGATTCCCTTTATTATCATCTTTGACTGTCTTTGTTCAAAAACAAACATATCTGAACAAAGGAACTGCCGGGGTGTACTTCTCTACAGCTTCTAGCTGGAGATGTTTTTCGCCACTGACCTATCGTGCTTTATTACCCCCGCGATCATACAGGAATCCCCACTCTAATGGCAGGCGCCAGCTTGCATTGGGCTGATAAGCCTAACGCCGATCTCGCCCTGTCATCAGATGAAGAGGACTTTATTTCCAGCCCAAGTACTGCTTCAAGGGAGCTTGAAGGTGTTGCCAAGCAAAATTTAACCCTGGCTTTGGGGAAGTTGCGCTTGGAGCAAGAGGACTTGAATCGATCTTCCGAACAGGACGCGACTCCAACAACTCCCCGCACAGAAGGCCCAAACCAAACACCCTCAGAACTAGAAATGGCCAACCCTCTACAGTTATTGGATTTACCCTTGGACATTTTGAAGGAGATCATCAAAGAGGTAAGACAGGTCTCCCCCGCAGATCGTGAATAGATAGCTTACAGTTTTGTACAATAGGTGACCCATACGACTGACTTGACCTCGCTCGCTCTTACATGCTCGGCTCTTCATTCCCTAGCTATCCCGCACATGTACTCCCGTTTCGACATCGTCTGGCCCGAGTCGCTAAACCCATCAACGGATGACTACTCGGGGGTGGATGCTCTTTCTTATGGTCTTTCCACATTGGTCATGGGAGAGGATGTATTTAATCGGACGTCGCCGTTTCCATCTGGCCAAGCCAAAAAAAGCTGCGTGAATTGTGGTTGCGATAATCTCCATCATCAATCGGACCCGGACCCTGGCGACAACGGAGTTCGCTTGCGGTCGCGACGAGGCAATCATTATGCCCAGTATACCCGCACATTCTCTATTGGAAATGGCCCGCTCAGCTGGGTACAAGAATACTCGGTGACCAAAGAAGTTGGTAAGATGCTAGGGACGCTGGTCGCCTTAGCAGTGGCACGAATGGTAAACCTCGAAGCCTTTGTCTGGGACATGCCGACTGGAGTGGTCCGTGAAATTTGGCTGGCGCTTGCGTCGTTGGCAGATAGACCAGGGCACGATTGTCGCCTGGAGCGCATCTGGGTACGCTGGCATGACAACTCGGAGAATGCTTTACGCAGTTCGTCCGCAGCGGCAACGAGGCTCTTTCAGAAATACAAACATGTGGAACATCCTTCCTTGTCAGTACTGCCCCCACTCAAGAGTGTGGCTGTTCTTGACATAGATGAACCCGCTTATGTGGAGGAGCTGGCACTTCTCATTGAGCGGTCACGTCGCCGTCTGTCTGAACTCCGAATTGGTATTGCCGAAAAGGCCCACATGAGTACATGGCTTCTATGTGGGAAGGACTCTGATGGCTCAACGAGTTGGCCTAGAGCTGATGGTGTACTTGGAATCTTGGCACGGCGGAATCTTGACAAAAAGCAGGAAAATAGTACAATCGCGTCCCCTGAAGAGAAGTCAGCGCCATCTGAGGGTTCACCAAACGCCATCGAAAATGCAGCCCCATTGACTCCAAATGGCGAGCAGCAGCCTCCCAGCACCACCAAGGACAAAAAGTCACCACCAAGCTCTGGTTTGCCCTACCGGAGTGCCCACTCACCGCTACCTTCCTATAAACCTGATGGTGACATGCTGTATCTCAAAGTACTCGAGCTGGAGCGCGTACCTCTGTCTGTGCCAACACTACTGCCGGCTATTGACTGGACTGGATTGACTACTCTTACCATCATGCGATGCGAGGATCATGAAAAGCTTTGGAGGGCTCTTCGTCGGAAGTATGCTCCTCCAGCGATGCCAGCAAAACGTTCACAAGACCCAGAGCGTCGAGCAAGCGCCAGCTCAGTTGAATACTCACTAAATTTGAAACATATTCGCACGGACACTGTTTCGCCTTATCTTATACTGTTTATCAAGGATGCGCTGGCTCCAAATACCTTGGAGAGTGTTTATTTGCATGAAGCCCCAGGTCACGAATCTGCTGTGCAGATTGACGCTATTTACAGGCACATTCTGCGAAAGCACAGGCAGAGTCTGCGAAAGGTGTTGATTGACGCCACAGACCGTATAATTGGTGCCGGCTATTCAGGCACACGATGGCACAAGTGGATGTTCAACCACGACATGGTATCATTTGTCACGAGTGGAAAGATGCCGCAGTTGAAAGAGCTAGGAATGGCGATGCATTATCGTGACTGGGTAAGAGAATGACTTCCAGCATTGAATATTTCGACCGGTCCTCGAGGGCTTGTGCTAATGATGAGTCCACAGCATTTCTTCCTCCAGAGATTGCCGAATATGCCCCAGCTTCGTGCTTTGTATCTACCACAAATTCACCATACCGTCCACCGCGACTTGAAAGAGCTTGCGCTACAAGTTTTGGACATCGTCAGCATACGTCCAGACCTGAAGATCGCCTACATTGGTCTCCAAATCAAATGCTACCAAATCCTTGAAGCAAGGCACGACGATAACCCACTAGATTTCGACGACAACCCCCCGATTGATCATTCCCCGGCGCATAGCGAAGATGAGGATGAAGGGTGGGCCAACCCCAGCCACGAATCTGGAGAAGACAGCGATGGTTCCGACGATGCCTCGGGGGCAGCTGACACAGACCTCCTTTCCAGTGACCCGGACGACTACGATACCGAACCCGACGAAGAGCAGGGTACTTCGCGGATTCGGTACCGGCTACAAGAGATTTTATTTTACGACGAAAAGGTATCCATTTTCAAGGCGCGCCACGGTGTTTTGTGACCTTGGGGCTTGCATTCTATATGCGCGAGAATGGACCATTTGTGGCGTTTAAGGGGGAACAGAGTACAAGATACCATGGCTGTTTTAGCTTAGCACTAAGGTTATTTGCTGTCCTTGGAATGATACGTTTTCTTGAGTTAAGGTTGGTTCTATTTCAATGTAGATGAGAATTCTGGACTAGAGGAAAGCTAAGGCAGTAAATACATTTGGTTTATAGTTGGCACTAGTCTCAGATTTCAATGAAAATGACATGACCTGATCCAGTCCCACCGACAAAAAGACGGTTGTAAATCGCATATGCCTCGTCATGAAACGAGATCTGGAGAGAGGTTAATCGTGTCTATACCTACCCTTGGAGAGACTTGCTGTGATATTTTTGAGGTTGAATGTCTCTTTCAAGACTTTGGTCCTATTGGCTTATTGCCATAGAATTGGTATGTGTTTTCTAGGAACTGTGCTTGTTGGGCTGCAGATGAAAGCGGCGAATTTCCAAAGTCAATGGGTGTTTGTGAATAGTCGTGATGACTGAATCCTATAAAAATCATCGTCAATCCAAAGGATGACTCTGAAAGCTAATATGTTCTATATATCTATCTTCCAATTTATACAAAACAAGTCCCCTGGCGACTATATATTAGTCACCCCTCTCGCTCTTCATTTCGATAACAACAGTCTTCATGATATTTGACCCAGGCTCCAGCATAAGCTCCTGGCTATTATGCCTGTCAGTATGTGATGGCACCATCCTCGAGCTCGAACCATCAATAGGTCCACCCTCATCGCCGTCCCCAATCTTCCACATCTCAATAGCCCTATCATCCTCTGGGCGCAACGTCTGCGAGGTCGCCGTGTCATAGCCGTGTGGAGTCCAAGATGGGCCGTGGTACGGGACCTGTCCGTAAGAGCGGGCATATGATGAGTCCTTAAAGGTATTATTGAACAAGGGACGTAGGGAGGGGGCAGATGCGGAGATGATGGCGACGTTGACTTCGACCTGCGACCAGATGAGGATTTGGATCGCATCGTAGGAGACGTCTTTTGTTATTGTGTATTTGTATAGTGCGTTCAGACGGATTATGGAGGCGACGGAAGCGAATGTTCCGGTCAGCAAAATGGCGATGAGTGCGTCTGTTGCTAGAATATGTGGTTAGCTTGTGAGGTTTCGTTGTAGGGAGTGCACGCATGCTGAGAGGGCGTTGCTGACATTTTCGCCTGGTGCGAAGGTTTAGCTTCATGAGTTGTGGTAGTGGCATGATCAATATTACTATATCTGTGAGGATATTGATCCCTGCTGTGGAGAAATATGTCATGGAGAGATTGTTACAGCCTTCCGGGAAGCTTGGATCCCATGCGCGCCAGGGTTTCGTGTGGCATTCGAAGGCCTTGATGGGGTTATATCAGAACATGAATTGGTAGAGGGATATTTTAGAGTGGCACACTCACATTGACAAAAATGCAAATGACAGTGTAGGCGAAGACAAAGAGTCCGACTCCAATGGTGGCTATTCGAAATTGCTTGAGAGCGAAAATGCGATAGTACTGTGCCAAGATACTGAACTTGACCATACCCACTGAGAGGGGGTAGACAAGCTGGTAAACATACCAGTGCTTGAGTGTTGGTATGAGAACTTCCTCCAAGGGTAAATCGCTGAGGTGACGACTGAGACATGATGATTGTTAACAAGGCGATTGAGGGGCAGACATGATAGACTAGAGAAACTAACCCTGTGCCTAGGCTGACATGGAAGCCATTCATTATGCCCATGCCAATTGTGACGAACAACCCTGCTACGATCAGGTAGTCGTCCAGTCCAACCTTATGTACGAGGAACACTCGGCAGTAGACTCTCAGCAGAACACTTATACATGAGAACAATAGTAGCAAGGTCATGACCGCAAGAAAGGTAGGCTGTAATGAGCCATTGCTTGCTGATATCCAGGCCATGATGGGTCAAACAGAGGTAGAATCAAACCTGAGTTCGTGAGAGCGCTGGTAGCTATACGTGCATATGCGCGAGAGGCTGGGGCCATTTGTCTTATATCACCTCAGCGAGAAAATAATCCATGCGAGTTGATTTACATACTTTTACAGCCGGTTAGAAGGCCCCTGAATACGGCGCATGTGCTATTATTGCTTAGACTATTGTATAGAATATCTGGCCAAATTTCATGCACACTGAATCAAGTTCATTCCCAAATTTCCAATTGAACGATGAACAATACACTCAAGAATGAATTGAGCATAAAATCAGAGCTAATGTATTCCATGAATACTAGTAATACATTCTAGGACATTGAAAGTCCATGGGTATGTCCATATCTGTCTGACCTTCGAAGTATGTAGATTTCCAACCCTTGCAGGATGCAGATGGCCCCCCATACGCTAATGCGGGTACTAGACCCAATATAGAGAATTGTTTGTCGATCACCCATCTCTTCTTGGTGGGTGATCTGCCCCCTGCCTAGAGGGTCTTGGCAGGGATATATATTAGGGCTTGGATCAAGTTGTGTGCACTTAGCATGCCATCATTAGGGCATGATGAAGATAATGTTGGATTCTGGGGACGAATCTCCGCATGTCTGGATGTAATCGACAAAATCGGCCGTTCACAGTAAAATCTCCAGGGCTGTACAGAGTACTGCGTACTCTGTATAACCTTTTGATGTGGCTGACCAGCTAACGGCTAATTTTGCCAAGATCTCAATGCTGCAGATGTTTATAAGTACCGTGAATTAAAGATCTTGGAAAACAGCCGAAAAAGCATTAGCCCTAATTCTACCCTTTTGTGTAATTGGGGATAAACGGAAGGCCTTTACAAGAATGTCTTAGCCTCTTAGTCTCGGGCCACATGGTTGAATGTGCCGGAAAAGCCGCTTTAGCGCGTTGCTCCTAATAAGTGATAGTCCAGAAAATCGGCTCCGAGACCCATGTTAAAAGAACACCTCTCCCTTCTAGAAATTCGGTTGAGCGTGCAACTTTTAGAGTGTGATCAAAAATGCATTTTGGCAAGTTAATTTCGCTGGGGCTTTTGCTTCTGGTTGGCGACAGCGCTGCTTCATGCAAAAATCCCCCATTGCGTAAAGAATGGTAAGCCACATGGCAAAGGAGGCTTAATTGACTTGGCTTTTCAATATTGACATTTTTGCTTTTTCCTAGGAGAGATCTGAGCATGCACGAACGCCGCGACTATATCGGTGCAGTCCGCTGCCTGGCGGCACGGCCAGCTATGACTGGCCTCGAGAATGTAGTTACGCATTTCGATGATTTCCAGGCTACGCACAGTGACCAGACCCCCTATATTCACTGGGTGGTAGGTGCTCATCTTTCCCGATCTATTGTTGATGCTGATCACTTTGGGATAGGGTCACTTCGTCCTCTGGCATCGATACTACCTCGCCACCTATGAGAAGGCTTTACGAGAAGAGTGTGGCTACCAGGGTGGCCAGCCGTAAGGATACACTTTCTGTCGTTCGCAACTACCTAAAGAATAATACACTAACCCCAATAACAGCTACTGGAATTGGTCCCTGGATGCATCCTCGACAGACAACAGCTCCATGGCCATCTTTGAGACCGACATCTTCGACCCTGTCCGAGGGTTCGGAGGAAACGGCAAATACATGCCGGCCGACGAGACGCAGAACCCCTTGAATCTGACCGGCCGAACTGGTGGTGGTTGCGTTGAAGATGGTCCATTTACTCCCCCCAACTTCATGCTTGCCGTCGGACATCCCAAGGGACAACCTGACTGCCTTCGTCGCGACTACATACCATCGATTATGAACTTCTTCTCACGCCAAAGCCTCGTAGACCATGTGCAAGGCCAGTCTGACTATACCACTTTTGCACGGGCACTTGAAAATATCCCTGCCTTCACTCAGCCTAACATCCACGGCAGCGGGCATTTCGGTGTTGGAGGCGCGCTCGGAACACTGGGTAACCAGGCTCTCAGCCCTGGTGGTAAGTTTTCCCCCTCTTGGTTACTATGACTGTGTATGCTGATAAGCCTAGATCCTCTCTTTTATCTACACCACGGAAATGTTGATCGTATCTTCTGGGAATGGCAGCAGAAGGACCTGCCGGCTCGCTATCATCAAGTTGGCGGCCCTGTCAAGTCTATGGATTATACTGGAGTGAATGTCACCCTCGACTTCGAGATCAACATTGGAAAGCTTGCTCCCAACACTACACTTGAAAGCCTGCTTAACACCGAGAGTGGTATTTTATGCTACAGCTACTGGAATAATGGTAAACGCTAAAGGTATGTAGGTGCACAGAAAGGCTGTATGTGGCGGGACACGACTGTAGTTATACTTCTCTTTGTATAAAAGCCAATATATTCAAGCTATATAGACAACTCTACAAAACGTAACATCACTGTATATACATGTACCGTATGCCTGAAGCCTATGAAGGTTCTCGCAACGAGACTTCAACTTTTGCAGATCTCGGTTCGGGTTTCAGCCACTCCGGGCAAGTACAAGATTAATCAATTATTTGGTTTTCATTCATAAAATCATAATATCGTAGTATTTCCCTTGTTTATGCTAAGTGAGTTACAAGAATGGGTATCTGAGAGAGTTCGCTAGTGCTCAATTGATATATATATGGTGAGACAGATTGGTTCATGCAAACTCCCGGTGCGCATCCTCATACTGGGCACGAATCAGCTCGTTCTCGATCACGCGCCTCTTAGCCTTTTCTTCCTCGCTAGAGTTATCTTTGAACACATGGTCCATCTGCTCGAGAGTTCTACCCTTGGTTTCTGGCACAAAGAAGTAAGTCCACAATCCGGCGAGAATGCAAAAGACGGCGAAGAAGACGTAAGCACCGTAACCGGTATCTTGGACGAGAGGCGGGGTGATAAGACCCTGCATAAATAATTAGTATCTTTAACACATAGTGTAACCCAATAATGATAACGAGAAACTCACAATGATGAAGTTGTTGAGCCAGTTGGAGCAAGTTGAAAGAGCAACACCCTTCGCACGAAGGGAAGAAGGAAAGATTTCTGGATATGTTAGATTGGTGCCTGATAACAGGATGAAAGGAGAAAGACGTACCTGAAGGCATAGCCCACGGGATAGGACCCCACGAAGCCCCAAAGGCAAGCATATAGAATAGTAGGAAGGCCACACTGGTCCACCCTTCTGCTTTGTGGGACGGCCAATCGGCAGAGAAAATTCCGACCAAAGCAGCAATAATAATGTGGGATAGAGCCATGAGGACTGCGCCAACTATAAGCAACTTGCGACGACCAACGACGTCCATGGTCCAAATACTAGTGGTAACACCCACCAACTGTACCACGTTGAGGACGCCGGACATGATAAGTTGCATGCTCGAGTCGAGACCCATTGTCGCAAAGAGGGTAGGAGAGTAGTAGATAAGAGCGTTGATACCAATGAACTATCCATGTGATTAGCATAGGTTGATTATCTCCACATACAAAGAACTCACCTGTTGGAAGAATCCTAGTCCAATACCGATGTGAGTACGACGCCAGCAGCCCTTCCTGAAGCAATCGGCCCACGACGAAAGCTCCTGCAGAATGGAGTTCTTTGTGCCACCACCTTGTAAATCTGGATGGTTTTCCCTATTCATTTGCTGGTGGAAGCGAACTTCGGCCTGGATATCCATAAGCTCCTGACGAATACGCCTGTCGGAGGCTGGCAGGGAACGGAGCCTGCAAAGACTCTCAAGAGCTTCCTCATCGCGACCCTTCGAAGCCAGCCAACGGGGTGAGAACGGAAGAGCGTATACACCGGCAGCAAGGACAAAACCCGGGATCAATTGAAGCAGGAAAGGAAGGCGCCAGGCCCATTCACCGACCATGTATCGTGTGCCATAGGTAATCCAAAAGGCAATCACAATGCCCAGGACAATACACCATTCTTCGAGAACCAGGAGAGTACCACGGCATTCGGGGGGACCTAATAGGAGACATTGGAATAAGCATTTATATCACATGTGTGAGGAAGGAAAGAAAATCCTCCGAGGAGAAAACGTACTGATTTCGGAGATGTACAACGGTGCAACCATAGACAACATTCCGATTCCGACACCTCCAATCAGCCGAGCCACTGTCAACATTGGGTAGCCATAGGCAGCAGTCTGAAGCACAGAGCCAACAGTGAAGATAGCAACGGCGACAAGAATCGAATACCGTCGCGAGATCTTATCCGCAATCCAGCCCTGGTTGAGAGCACCAATCAAAGCCCCCAACTCAATCATCGCCGTCAACAAACCTTTCGCAAAGCCTGAGCCCGGGTTACTCTCTTCTATCCGTGGAAATTCCGTCAAGAATTGTTCCATGACCAGAATCACCGACACAACACCTTGGTCATAACCAAAAAGCAAACCACCTAGCGTTGAGCAGGCCGCACACAGGACCACGAACGGGTTGGCTGCCAGACCGCGCAGACCGGGTGGGCCATAGGGTTCGCGGTCAGAGGCAATGTTGTCCGCATGGTGAGAGAAGCCATCTACCACGGGATCATGGGATAGTTCTTTCGTAGCGGGAATGTCATCAGCCATTTTGAATGGAGATTGAGAGAGGAGTTGAAGAACTCGAAGATTATGTGATTGAAGCGGCAAACGCTTTGATATTCACCTTATACCCCGGAGGCGCTCCGATATTTATACCCATTTTCCCCCTAATTACCAAGCTGGGGTAGTATAAAAGGTTAGTTCACTCCGTGAATCGGGACCTATAGGACGGCGTGGGGTCCCCCCCGGCTAGACAAGCCAATAAGGCAAGGGCTCGGGATCCAGGTCGGGGTAGATGACGAAGTCGACGGTTCGGCCAGCGGGTTAGGGGAAGATCGGCACTATTGTGATTGTGGGGAAAACACGGAGGACATAATAGCAAGTCGTCAATTGGTGGCGGCTATTGGTATAGTTCTTGGACGTTTCAACTTCCTCTTGCGTCTATACTCGGCCTTTGAGAAATAAGGCTCTCAGCCATAACTTTATTACGCCTGGCCAGGCCAGGATAGGTCAGGTGGAAGACAGGCTCATCCCTGCAATATTGTAGGGCATATCCGCTTTTACTTTGACCCCATAGACATAGTATGGTGCTTGTCATTACATCTTCAATATTACTATCAGCTTCTCCTATCCTTTTACTCTTCATTTGCCTACCATCTATGGATATCAAGACACTGCATAACTAGTTCAAACAGATACAGGTTAACAAATTAGGGATCACTATCACGAGATGCAACGAAACTTGCCAGGTTCTAATATATACATGTGTAGTATTCGAACTCTATCATTTTCGGGCCGGGGCGTGTATTTCGGAAAGTCAAGTGACTATAAGCCGATCTATCCCGTGATGGTGTAAGACGTAGGCCTGATCCCTTCATCTGACTGAATTAATAACAGTAGAATAGGCAGAATAGGCAGAAATAGGTAGAATACCTAGATACCTAGATAATATCCTGACCAGATTCCCCACGGGGGTGTATGGGGTAGATTCCTAGATTTCCAAAATCCCCTTGATAAATTTCGGAATTCATTGTCCACTGCGTCCACTTTGACGTGGAGAAGAGCCCAAGCTGAGCGGTAACCATTTTCCCCCAACGGATTCCAGTTCCCGACCCCCCTCACCCTGCAAACATTCGGATTTCCCACTTCATTTTGCAAATCATGGCTTCCTTCATGGAGGACCTGTGGTCCAGCATCTTCACCCCAGGACCCACCCCAACGCTTTTGATCGCGACCAACGTCACCTTCGCCGCACTCCAGCTTATCTTCCTCGCCCTCCTCCTAGCCACCTACAGCCTCCACTTCGTCGCCCTATCCATCATCAGTGCTGGACTATGGTGGTCCATCAACTGGTTCGCCGCAGAGGTGCAACTTGCTCAACAAGCGCAGGAGGCTGAAAAAGAAAAACAAGAGGAGAGTGACAACGCGAAGACGCGCCGGAAGAGCCCCGTAAGAGAAAGTGCCGACAGCGACACGGAGACTGAAGCTCTCGTCGCCAAGAAGATAGATAAGTCTACTGCTGTCACGACCGGGAGTGCAACGTCCGGGTTGCTGCCCACGGCGCGCGATCAGAAGAAGCGGCCTAGCACCGGTGGTGAGGGGTCTGGGTATGGGAGCACTGATAGCGAGTGGGAGAAGGTTGATGATACTCAGTCTTGAGGAACACTTGACACTCAAGGATACAACACCTTGCTTCGAAATATCTACACACGTCTCGGTGGAACATGGTTGCACACTGCATGCTCACCAGGTCCCGGACCTTTCAACGAATGTATAGGACGCGTTTACGGTGATACAAACTCTGTCTCGACCTTTCGCGTGCCTTGGCTGGGTGCTGGGTTGGATTTAGGATTTGGATTCGTATATACGCAATGCTCTCTTGTCTATTTGTCTTGGATCGATACCCCATACTATGTAGATGGTGAAATTTACAGCAGATCGCGCTTGGTTTTGTTTTCGGCAGGAGTTTAATATCCTCTTTCTCTCCGAATACATCCATTAACAATAACATTTAAAACAACCCATCCACTGTACAAAAGGAAGTAAACAAAACCGGTGGAGGGTGAAGCTTTAGCAAATCATCCACGTGACCTTCCTCCAATCCAAACATTGAACTCCGTCGCAACATAACAGAGGCAACCATCGAACACAATCGAAGCAGCAACCAAAAAAAATCCCAGCGAGCTGCATCTCACAATGTCCGATGTCCCTTGATCAAAATGCTTTCAACCGTACCCCTCAATGTGGGACGTAGGCGCGTCTGCGGCTCCGTCTTCTCCCCCGCGTCTCTCGAAGCTCACCCGCCGAAGTCGACCTCGGATTTTCAACGCGAGCAGACACCAGTCGCATCGCTCCAAGAATCAACCGACTCCTCATCAACCTTCAAAGCAGACTCGCAATCAACCTCATTCGCGACGATTGGGGGATCGACGGATGCTGCATCTCCAGAGGAAGACACATTAAACCAGGCGCGGCAGGTGGCGAAAGAGTTTCTATCTGTGCCCAATCTGGGATTCGAGTTGCTTTATAACTTCCGGAACACTGATGGAAGTCAGGCGTTGAAGGAATGGAACCGGCTCAGCCCTCCGTCGAAGGAGACGGCCGAGGCGCTGGAGTATCTTATGCGAGCTTCTCCGTGGACATTGTTTGAATGGTATGGGAATGATATTCGGAGACATTTTCTGGTCAATTTTCGGACAGGGCTATCTAAGGTATGAAAGCAGTTTCTCGTTTGAATTTGGTTAGTCTGTCTGTGCTAACGGTCTTGTAG